CGTGAGCGCGCAGGGGGGCGGCGGCCTCGCCTCGTCTCCCTTTCTGCGCCTGGGTCGGCTGAGTGACGCCAAGCGCAACAGAGATGTCGGATTTCGACAGTAACCCGTTTGCCGACCCGGATCTCAACAACCCTTTCAAGGTGAGCGTTGTCCCCAGCATCCTCCGCCGCCGCGACGCGTCGTTGTTTATGAAAACAGACAAGTTCCTTTGCGCCCACTGTGCCTGCCCCTTGGCTTCTCTCGGTCGCCTCGACGGGGGCTCGGTGCCGCAGCACCCCTTCTGCCGGTCGCGCTCCAGGCCCCGCGTCACTCGCTTGGGGGTCGGAGCGGAACCTCTACGGCTGTGTCCCGCCGCCCCTCCCCACATCCCCGACTGACGAGGGTCTGACGAGGGAGTGTGGGCCCGCGCGCCGGGAGGGTTCCTGGCCCGCCTCTCGGGAACGCGGAGAGTGAGAGTCCTGGGCAGATGGAGTTGTCACCTGCCAAGCAAGTGTAGCCGGCCTGGCCGGGACCAGGAGGTGGTGATGGGGGCTCGCCCTCAGGAGGGGTTGTCATGGGGACCCGAGGCGGCGGCGAAGGGCCGCATGGGGTGATGGCAGAGGTGCGGTGGAGAGGCGAGGGCACCGAGTACACTCCAATTAAAGAAAAGATTGTTTTTTTTTGTAAAACTTGTGTTGCGCCCAAATGCCACCAGTGACACTGCCATCCCCCTCCCTACCATAAAGCTAAGGTTGAGGGTCTGAGACCAAAGTTGAAAGTAAGCACACCTGGAAAAGAACAATGCACCTTCCTACTTAACTGCTCTTAGTGGGTAAACGACGGGATATTTTCCAAGCTCCTGTTGGGTCGCTGGTTCTCTGGGCTGTATGAGGATACCATTTCCTACCTGAGCTTTTTCCTTTTCGGAGTCTGCCTTATCAACCCCAGCTTCGGAAGGGCTTGGCATAGGAAGGAGCGGGCATGGGAAGGAGACTAAGAAGTTCATTATCTGCGCTTAAATTAGCTCAACATCTAAATAAATATCTCTTTAAAAGTACTCCTTGCTTCTTAATGAGCGCAGCTGCTTAGCACGTGAAAGTTGTTTCAAAATGGTTGAAGTTAGTTGTTTGTCAATTTCTCCTGGTTATGTGCATAGTAACTTTAATTTGTAGTCACAAAATAGCAACTTTAATTTGTCACACAAGTATCACTTCTGGCTTGTTGAGTTTACATCTCTTTTTACTCCTGGTTTGATCTCTTATTAATCCTGGAATTATCCCTGTTCTAATTATTCGCCTAATAATTTCACGGAAGATTATGTTAAATAATCCTGGTTATTATTGACAACTTTATAAATGTGGAATAGACCCAATCACTATTCTTTTGCCTCTGATGTCACTTGGGAAAATTCTATATAACTGGCCTGGAACATTCAGGTTTTTACAGATGATATGA